GGCACGAGGAAGAGCCGGGTCTCTGTCGGGCGCGCACCGCTGCCCTTCAATATTGTCAGCAGAACATTAACCAAAATCTTCCACCTCACTCCTCCTTTTTATAGGCTTTAGTTTGAACAAGCGTCTATGGGTCTTGCTGTGTCACGCTGCCTCTGGGTACTGTGTGATGGATCACCCATCAATTGCAGACGTGACTTTCAGCCTGGGACCTGACTTTGATCTTGTTTCAATTGCACCTTTGTTCTTTTCTTTTAGGGTGGACTCTTCTCACTTTGTCGGGGCTGTTGTCTGTATCTTCAGCCCTTGGTGTTTGCACTGCACTTTATCAGGACAGGCTGGGGCTGGAGGTTGATTCCATTCTCCATGCATCCCTCATTCAGACATCTGAACTAAGTTAATAAGGTTACAGCCGGGTTTTGCAAAATGGAGTAAACATTTCAAAATGGAATTTTAGTTATAATATGAAGTCTTATTAAAACAAGTGTAATGAACAATTTACAACGTTGGGAGGTAAACAGGAGTTACAATGGTAAAACAAAAGGAGTACCTGTGGCACCTTAGAGACTAACACATTTATTTGAGCATAAGCTTTGGTGGGCTACAGCCCACTTCTTCGGATGCATAGACCCAACCAGCAAGGATCAGTGATCCAAGCAGCAGTTGGACTGAAACTGCAAGAGCAGCCGGCCAAACAGCTACGGCTCTAACAAGCGGACGGTAATTGAACCGAACAGCTGCGGACTTTTTCAATAAGCGCGAAATGCGGGGACTTAATGAGCAGCTTTATTGCCATTTAGCCGGTTATTGCGATAACTGGTTTTATGAATGAACGCTGTTTCATTCCTAAAACTTTACTCATGATGTCATATTAATAAAGTCTTAATAGTATTAAATAAAATCAAATCTCATTCTTCAGATTTACAGTTGTGTGCACCAGTCGTCCTCACTGCACATGTGCAAGTGAGTGACAGCCAATCACACCCTCCGGCGGGAAATTCTAAAAAACAAAACAAAAAAACAGACACCCCCCCCTTACACCTCCCAAACCCTGCAACCCGCTACTATAACACATTAAAGGTAACTTTTAAAAAACCCAACCCAAATCCGCTTATTGTAAGCGGACTGGGCAACGTCCTCTTGCAGGTTTTGCAAGTGGACCAATATAATCAACCTGCAAGGACCTTCTGTTCTTTGATGTCCCAAGGGTCCCTTTACTATTTTGGTATGGCACTTGTTTATATATTGCTCCACATACTTGGCCACCATCCTGTCATCTGTAGCCTACTAAGACTTTTATCTATTCCTAAATGTCCATTATTAAGAACTAAGGCAGTGGTTTCCAACCTTTTTAAGCACAAGATCACTTGTTGAATTTAAGTGCAACCCAGGATCTACCTCAAAGAAAATGTAGAAATAACAGTTTGTTATATAAAGCTGAGGTCAAGTGCTTAATACTGTATATATAATTATACGTTTCCTTACTTACTGAGTCTGTGTGACACTTGTGACTGCACATTATCTGTCAGTGTCTTGAAATTTGGGTTGTAATTTGAAATAGCTAGTCGGATGCAGTTCTGGTGGAATACTTGGGCTTGATCATCTTCTTTTGTGAGAACGCTGTCTCTCACAGATAGGTGGAACCAAAGTAAACTTTCACTTTTAGGACAATAGAAGGGGATACTTTTCTCGGTTTAGGAGCCCCCCCCCCCAAATTGCTGTCCCTTGATCTGGCTTTCAGCTCAGTGTCACTTTGCATAGTAATTATCTCCATATCAATTCCACTACTTTGTAAATCAAACACCTGATGGAATGTCGCAGCCAGTCCACCAATGTCTGCTGGAAGGAACGGATTTGAGATCACATGACGATTGGCTCCATCACGTCTAATTCTTGAAATCACCTATTGAGTTCCTCTGCTAATTTGGCCAGCTGTGCACAGAACTTTTCTGGGTGGAACCATTTTTCTTTGTCTTCAATTTTTTCTAGTATTTTCTCCAGACTTGGGAAGTGCTGCAGCATTTTATCCTTTAACTGAGAGGACCACAGACCCAGTTTCAAGTTGAGTGCATTCACCGCACTGATCATATGTCATCAGTCTCTTCCTTTCCCTGCAGTTTGCAGTTCAGCTCGTTCAATCTGGACGTTATGTCAGCAAGGAACCCGAAGTCTAGCAGCCATGCATTGTCTGACAGCTCATTGCACGCTTCATTCCTTGATTTTAGAAAAGTGGTGATTTCGGGTATTGGATCCAAAAATCTTTGCAGGGCTTTCCCGCTGCTTAACCACCTCACATCTGCATGGAGGAGCAGCTCACCATAAGCAGCATCCACTTCAAGTAAAGTTTTAAACAGGTGGTGCCGGAGGGCTCTTGCTCAAATCAAGTTTCCAATTCTGACAATGATTTTCATTACATGTGAGACGTCCATAACTTTACTCGCTAGTGTTTGCTGGTGGATTATACAGTGGGAATTCACAAATGAAGGAAAATCTGGATCATTTCTACGGAATCCAACAAAGACTGCATGTGCGCTAAGCATGGCGGGTGCACCATCCGTTGTGATCAAAACAAGTTTCTTGATTGGAATGATTTTCTCAAGCATGTACTTTTTGAATTCATTGTAGATATCTTCACCTCTTGTTTTCTCTTTAAGGGGCAAAATAGTCAGAAGGTCCTCTTTAGTTGTCGCATCCTTAAAAACCATTCAAACAAAAACAACTACCTAGGCTGTGTCAGTCATGTCGACTGATTCATCGAAGTGCAGTGAAAAGCATTCACAGTCACTCAAATCCTGCTGTAGTTGCTGAAAGACATCTTCAGACAAAGATTCCACCTGTCTTGCTACTGTGGAAGCACCAAGAGATATGTTCGAGATTACCGTCATTATTTCCTCTTTGTTTTTAAAGTCTTTAAATAAGGAGTCCGTTGCCACAGTCATTGCCTCTTTAAATACTTCTCCATCCGCAAATGATTTCTTGTGTTTGCCAGCAGATGGCAAACACGAAACGATGCTTCAGTAGAGGCCTTCTCTTTTGCTGCTGGTTTAGTAAAACATGACTGTTGAGCTTTCAAAACGGCCTTCAATTCATTAACTCTCTGTACAGAGCGTGCTATTCAAGCGGAAACTGTCCTTGAATTTGCTATGCCTTGTTTTGTGGTGCCTTTTTAAATTCCCCTTTTTACTTATTGATATACTTGTGTGACATAGAAGACATACACACTTACCTTTCACTGTTGCAAACAGAAATTCACTTTCCAATTCCGAAGTGAAGTTGTAGGTTTTCAGTTTCTTTTTAGATGGCCCGGGTTCATCACTCATTGTCAACACTAGCTAGCTAGGCATGGTTTTTTATTATAAAAAGAGAATACTAGATACTAGCTACCACTGTAATCTACAGGAAACACTTCTGAGCGGTAGACATGTGCACCATGCACAATAAGCTTTTTTGTTGTTGTTGTTTTCAATTCTGCACTTGCAACCAATAATAAGTCCATTTTAAATGTAATTACGAAGCTATTTCAAATGTATAACCTGTCACGTTGAGGGGGTCAACTCATCAGGCCTCGCTAGCAACGTGATTGGTTTGAAAGGGTCTGGTCTGATGTGCTCATGCATTGCCACTTTATTTGATTTCTAACTTTAGCTT